TTGCAGCCCCCAAACGGGTCTCCAGACATTGTCAAATGTTCCCTGGAAGGCAAAATTGCCACACACACACACTCTGCTTTGAGAACCACTATTCTAGAATATACACAGGTGCATTTTAAACTACTTTTACATTTCACTTTCATTCAGATGAATTGTATTTATGTTAAGGAGTGAAATGGAGATCTAGCTTCATTTTTTTAATCAAAAGTAGTCAATTATCCCAATTCAATTCATCCCAGATATGAAAAGTCACCTTTGCCAAAACCTGAATCCCTATTATATTCTAATCTGCCTCATTATTGTTTCCTCTTTATTATTTCTCCAGCCAAAAAACTTTTACATTTAAATTATAAACTGTAAAATATACTTTTTATTTATTTGTTTGTTTGTTTATTTATTTTTGAGGTGTAGTCTTGCTCTGTCCCCCAGGCTGGAGTGCAGTGGTGAGATCTCCGCTCACTGCAAACTCTGCCTCCTGGGTTCAAGCGATTCTCCTGCTTCAGCCTCCCAAGTAGCTGGGAATACAGGCACACACCACCATGCCTGGCTAATTTTTGTATTTTTAGTAGAAATGGGGTTCATTATGTTGGTCAGTTGACCTCGATCTCTTGACCTCATGATCCACCCACCTCAGCTTCCCAAGTGTTGGGATTACAGGCGTGAGCCACCACACCCAACCCAAAATACACTTTAATATTTGTAAGGCTTCCCCAACATACCCCTATACCAGCTCTTCTCTTTCAGAATTTCCCCAGCTGCTGTGAGGTTTTAATTTCAATGAACTGTGGCATTGTTTCATCAATTAAAAAGAAAAAGAAAGCCCTGTTGTTATTTTAATGAAAATTACTTTGAGTTTAAAGATTGATTTGGGGAGAATAAACATCTTTACATAACTTTCACTATTGGATCTTGCTAGAAAGAATAAGTTGTCTTTTATTTTACGTGTCTTCCTTTACATCTCTCAGTAGGGTTTTAAAGTTTTCTTCATAAAAGTTGCACATATTTCTTGTTAATTTTATTCCTAGATATTTCATGGTTTTATTGCTATTATAAATGGCTACTCTAGAGCTTTGGGAAGAAGTAACTGTGATAAATGGAAACATGTGGATGAATTAACCCTTTAATGGAAAGAAAGGGAATAAGTTAAAAACTGGTACAGTATTCTGGAGGTCTTTTATTGCATAAATATAGTACTTAGTCCAAACAATGTTTAAAAAAAACAACAACAACAAATGGGGACACACTGCTTTCTTGCATTTTTAATATTAGTTCACTGTTTTTAGCTCTTTGTCAGATGAGCTTTTAATACAAAAACAGGCTGTTTTATCATTTTAAAAAGACAACAGACAAAAAAATTGATACAATAGAAAATTTGGCAAAGTTATGAACTAGCTGGTACAGTGGCTCACACTTGTAATCCAAGCACTTTGGGAGGCTGAGGTGGGAGGATTTCTTGAAGCTAAGGAGTTCAAGACCAGCCTAGGCAATATAGTAAGACATCTCTACTTTTATTAAATAAACAAAAACATCTTTAAAAAATGATGTTATGGGTCAGGCACGGTGGCTCACGCCTGTCATCCCAGCACTTTGGGAGGCTGAGGTGGATGGATCATAAGGTCAGGAGTTCAAGACCAGCCTGGCCAACATGGTGAAACCCCATCTCTACTAAAAATACAAAAATTAGCTGGGCGTGGTGGCATGCGCCTGTAGTCCTAGCTACTCTGGAGGCTGAGGCAGAAGAATCGTTTGAACCTGGGAGGCAGAGGCTGCAGTGAGCTGAGATTGTGCCATTGCACTTTAGCCTGAGTGACAGAGGGAGACTTCGTCTCAAAAAAAAAAAAAAAAAAAAGAAAGAAAAATCTGCATACAAGCTAACATTCTGCTGGGCCCAGCTGGTTCATTATCAGTATGCCCCAGTACACAATCAGAAGGGGTTCTTCTAATTGGTTGATTCGCATATTCTATCAGTTGTTAAATCTTTCAAATGTAATTGTACTATCTTTTTGTGCTGAGTTACACATTGGAAACAATTAAATTATCATTACTAAGAAAATAAATGAAAAAGCAAATTGCAGAATATCTGTATTTAGAATATTGGCCCATGGGTTATACTGGCAGGATAAATTAATTAACTCCCACAGACTTCAATTTCTTCATCTGTAAGATGGGGATAATAATATGTTTTGTTTTGTTTTTCAAATGGAATCTTGCTCACTCTCCCAGACAAGGAAACAGTGGTGTGATATAGCTCACTGCAGCCTTGAACTTCCAGGCTCTGCAGGCTCTAGTTCCATGCACTACAGGTGTATACCACCAAGCCCAGCTAATGTAATATGGAAATAATAATGAGTACTTTTTTTTGAGATGTAATTTTGCTCTGTTGCCCAGGCTGTAGTGCAATGGCTCAATCTCAGCTCACTGCAACCTCCGCCTCCCAGGTCCAACCTAATTCTCATGCCTCAGCCTCTTGAGTGACTGGGATTATAGGTGCCCACCACCATGCCCGGCTAATTTTTGTATTTTTAGTAGAGATGAGGTTTCACCATGTTGGCCAGGCTGGTCTCGAACTCCTGACCTCAGGGGATCTACAGGCATTGGCCTCCCAAAGTGCTGGGATTATAGGCATGAGCCATCGGGCCTGGCCTTGAGTATTTCTTAGGGTTGTTTTCAGGAGAAAATAAAATAAAAGAAGGAAAGTATTTGCCTATTGCCTCAAATGCTGTATACAATAAATTATTGCATTCTTATTTTAATTGATTCTTATAGTCTCATTTTTTTTTCTTTTTTTTTCAGTGTCTTTTAAAATTTTTTTAACTTTAATTTGCATTTGGGGGTACAGGTGAAGGTTTGTTACAAGGGTACACACACGTCACAGAGTTTGCTGTATATATTATTTCATTATACAGATATTAAGCCCAGTACCCGATAGTTCTCTTTTCTGCTCCTCTTCCTCCTCCCTCCTCCCAACCTCCCACCTCAAGTAAACCCTAGTGTCTGTCATTTACTTCTTTGTGTTCATAAGTTCTTATCATTTAGCTCCTGTATAGTCTCATTTTAATGCATTATTTGTTTAATAAATATTGGGTACCTATGATGTGTTAGGCATTATGCTAAGTGAATAAAGATTTATTTTTCCCCCAAGACAGAGTTTCACTCTGTCGCCCAGGCTTGAGGGCCCTGGTGCAATCTCAGTTCACTTACATGCATAAAGATTTAATAATGAAATTTTTTTAAAATAAAAAAACAAAAATGATTGAATAATGAACATATATTTTAGTGGGAGGTCACAGGGAAAAAAATCAAGGCAATAGTTAAATAAGCAAAATAATTGAAAACTGTGATGTTACGGAAGAAACAAAGGATTTAGCTAGATTTGTGATTCTGAACCAGGGTGACCCCCTCCCCCATGGAACATTTGCCAACCTGTGGAGACATCTGTGTTTGTCCCAACTTCGGGGAAGGATGCTAGTGGCAAACCCTGGTTAGTGTGCAGGGATGCTGCTAAATATCCTAAAATGCACAGGACAGCCCCACAAGAAAGAATGACCTAGCCCCAGATGTCAATAGGGCTGTGGTTGAGAGCCCTTGAGCTAGATGATGGCAGTGGGGAGACTTAATTTAGGTCAGGTGATCACTGAAGACTTTTTTTTTAGGACGGAGTTTCACTCTCATTACCCAGGCTGGAGTGCAATGGCTCGATCTTGGTTCACTGCAACCTCCACCTCCTGGGTTCAGGCAATTCTCCTGCCTCAGCGTCCTGAGTAGGTGGGATTACAGTCACGTGCCACCATGCCCGGCTAATTTTTTGCATTTTTAGTAGAGACGGGGTTTCACCATGTTGACTAGGATGGTCTCAATCTCTTGATGTCGTGATCCACCAGCCTCGGCCTCCCAAAGTGCTGGGATTATAGAGGTGAGCCACCCCCCACTCCCCAAGACTCTTCTAAGAAGTAACATTTAGGCCCAGGCTTGACTGGTGAGAAACTGCCAGGCAAAAAACTAGGGAAGGAACATCCTGGGCAGAGGGGACTTGGAAACAAATAACAATGGAAAATCTGTTACATTTGTGTATAATATACAAATGCCTAAATGAACAGAAGGGGGCAATTACAGGTCGGCCATGTCTCACTAAGTATATTCTTTCTTGCTTGAAGTTTTGAGAACTTTTTTTAGTTACAAATTGAGAAGAAAAGCAATAAAAAAGTAGATGGGCTGGAAGAGAGCTTCTTGTACAACCAGAGGTAGATTTCAGAGCACAACCCTCACAGTGTTCAGGAGGCCCTGGCATATATAGTCTGAGGTCAGCTTCCGCCCTCCACATCTATCTGACCTTCTGAAATGACAGGATTTCCCAGAGACCACTTGATTTAGAATCAGATAATTTATGTTTGGTACCAGGTTTTATGCCTTTTAACTTGGTTATATTTGGATGTATTAAGTGATCTTGATTTTAAGAAAAAGATAACTTATATTACTAGCTTGGGCATTAAATGAAATTAAATAAGTGTTTCATAAACTGTAAAGAATAATGTAGATACAGGATTTTGAGAATAAAGAGAGTGAAGCCTGTGCTCAAGGAATTATCTGTTTTGTTTTTTTGTTTTTGAGATGGAGTCTCACTCTGTCACCCAAGCTGGAGTGCAATGGTATGTTACTGGCTCACTGCAGCCTCTGTCTCCCACGTTCAAGCAACTCTCCTGTCTCAGGCTCCTGAGTAGCTGGGACTACAGTCACATGCCACGTTTTGTAGTTTTAATAGAGACTTGGTTTCACCATATTGGTCAGGCTGGTCTCGAACTCTTGACCTCAGGTGATCCACCCGCCTTGGCCTCCCAAAGTGCTGGGATTAAAGGCGTGAGCCACAATGCCAGGTCTATCTTTCCGTTTTATCCCCTGGATTCCAAAACTCATTTAAGTAAAGAGAAGTGATGACTTGGCTACAGAGGAGAAAGGAGGGCTGGAAGGGAAGTACAGGCTAGGAAAAGTGACTAAAAACAAAATAGTAGCACCAGTTACTTTATTTGTGCAAGAAAGAGGAGGATAATTATCCTGATGGGGCTGATAAAATCACAGCAAGATGGCTCTCGGCCAGCTCCAGGCCCTTAAGACAAATGGTCAGCTCTTTCTTCAGCAGTCCAAGACCCTTTGACCTGAGATGTGACTGGATCATTACAGACCTCTTGTCCAGTGTTTAGAGCCTGGCTGTCTGTATTTTTTTATAAAAGTATCTGCCTTCCAGAGACTAGAAGTAGAGATCTAATAACTGGGTAATACCCTTCCTCCACCTAGAACACAGGCCTTGATGAAAATTATGCTTTGTCAATTGTTGCTGAGTAGAAGAAACAAATACATCCTCCAATCTTCAGTTGGTGGATCTGGCATCAAAAAATAATCCTGTTAACTGCATTTATTAGTACACTTTTCTGGCTTATTTGCCTTTTCAAGTTTCTATTTGCTTTCTTGCCTTTGAAGGGTCTGCAGGCTGTGAAAAGTAACTTAACTTTTTAACAAGTCTCCTTGCTTGTCCTTGACGCAGCTTCAGAAGATAAGACACCAAAAGTAACTATGTGTGCCTAGAGAGAAGAAAAATAATGGTGAAAAACTTTTATCAGCAGCCTCTGCCAGCACTAAGCAACGCCTGAATTTTACTCTGGCACTTTCCCAATTCAATTAACATTCATATGAATCAGAAAATAATACGTAGCAAATTTGATTCCATATACTTTTCTTAAAAAAAAAAAAAAAAAAAGCACTGGAAAGAATCTTAAAAGTCATTGAATCCGTTTTATAGTAAGGCCCCCGAGACTCCAAGGGACTGACAAAGCTAGAACCGAAACTTGTTTGTCCACCTCGAGAAAAACGAATCAACAAAAAATATCCTAAGCAATTGCTGGTATCTGAAGCCCACTTTTTTGAGGCTGTTTCCTTTGTTATGTTGCGCTGACCCCAGACACTTTGTTTCCAGAATGCACTAAGAATCCAAAGCTCCAAACAAGTTTGGGATCAGCGTTGGGAGTAGGGGGCAGTGGGAGTGCATCTACTGGGGTGGGGGGTATTCTATAAGCTTTCGCTGCATCTCAGAATTGTGCCAGTGTTTCTCCTTGGAGCGCCTCGCCAGCTTAAATAACTGTTTCGATATGATTTGATCGTGCATCGGCCGGATTAAGCCTGACAACTATCCAAGGTGAGTTCACATCTCCATTTTTAACTTTTCCTAATTTGAAAGCCACTTTTAATTCTCTCCGCCCCTCCCCCTTCCCCTGGAAAGTTTGTTTTCAAGCTATAAACCCTCTCCAATTCTCGGTTTCCATCTCGGTTGCCTGAGAATCGCAGTCATTAGCCAAGTCCACTTGGACGAAAGCAAAGCTACCTTTGTGTACATAATGAAAACCACCGCGTGGCCAAGGAGAACCACCGGGAAGAAGGAAACATTTTTGTCTCGAGCTGCCCAAAGCGGGCGGGGATGGGGGGTAGGCAGGGTTAAACGGACCGAAGGCGTGTTTAGTGGAGTGGCTTCGAAAGCGGCCGAGGCCGCCGAAGCCGCTTTCGAAGTTAGCAAACAAAGCGTCTCCCCAGTAACCGCCGGGTTGCAGACGAGGCTCCTGCCACTCAGACCGCGGAGTGGCAGCGTCGCCCGGCCCGCGACTCCTCCTCCTTGCGTCTCTCCTCCCTTCGCTCCCGGCTCCCCAGCGGATATGAGCCACCAATCCCAGCCACAAACAACCCTTCAAATGAAATAGCTAGGCGGCCCTCTAATGGGCGGCCCGGGGGCTGGCCGGCTCTCGGTGCCACATCTGTCCCGCACTGGGCGCAGCAGCTGATTCATCTGCAGCCAGGCCCAGGAAGCAACTGCGCTCTCGGCAGTTGCAGTGCAGCGTCCGGGCGGGTGGCTTCTCCCCAGGACCGCGTTCCCCAGGAGCCGTTTTAGATGTGTGTTGTCTTCTGTGCCGAGTAGTCAGCAAACCACAGAAGAAAAAATACCGTAAGGTTGCTGCCTGCTTAGAGAGACGCTTTTTCCCCCCTGTTGATTCATTTTAAGTCCTGTAATTGGAAAAACCACCCAGGCTCTTTAAACTCTGGCTTCCACGCACTCTCGGGGCGGGGGTGGTTGTTTTTTTTTTTTTTTTTTTGAGGGTGGCAGGCTGGCTCTAATTTTCGGCATAATCCTGAAGCAGACGCTCCAAAGTCGTGTTAGTTATCCCTTGGCTGACTTAGTAGTCCTCAGGTTTAACCTTATTTCCACAGAGCTTCTCCTGCCGACATCTCCACCGAGGTTACAGAACAAAAACAGCACAGAGCCCAGGCTGGAGGCAGACCCGGGCGCTGTCTCTGCTAGGCTTATTTACATTTGGGTTTTTTCTTTTCTTTTCTTTTCTTTTTTTTAAGTGACGGAGGAAGTCTCATTATGTGGCATGTGACAATTCGTCTGCTTCAAAACAGCGGGACGTAATCACGCGAAAACTAGAACCAGAGGATGGGGCATGCGTTTCTTTAAATCAACGAAACAGCATCTGATCTTTGAAAGGGCCATTTCATCAAGAAACTCCTGTTGGATCCCTCCTAACTGTGGACCAAAATAAGTCAACAGGAACGCGTGTTTACTTAATGGCTAGTTTCTGTTTGAAATACCGGAGGGGAGGAGGGCTCCTCTGGCAGGGTTCACCGAAGCAGATGAGCAGCCACGGCGTGGTCACCCCTGAACTATAAAAGGGCCGCTGTCGGGGTCCGGCGACTGGGGGTGTCAGGCGGAGTCGTGGCGAGGCGGGTGCGCGCCTGGCCGTCCCCAGGCAGAGACGTTTAAAGAGCATGTGAGCATGACAAGTGTCTGTCCGCAACGTGTCAGATTTCGAAACTGCTTTGCAATCCAGTCCGGAACTCGCTGCTTCAGCCCGGGGGAACAGACGTTCGCTTGGGCTGTGTCTCATCATCCCACCCCCCCACCCCCGCCGACCTCCCACTGTTGTTGCTGGAGGAAGAGCCCCGGGTGGAGAAGGGTGCGCCGCGCCGCGCCCGCGTGTCAATGGCAGCCGCGCATTCTGGAAGAAGTTGGTTCTTGTCTCGAATACTTTTCCTCCTATGCCCCGCCCCTTGAATCAGAGGCGGCTGCCTCGTGCGGCTAGAGCCGGGACAGAGGAGTTCGGGGTAGCTGTCAAAAACGAGACGGGGAGGCTTTTCTTCCCAGGGGTAGAGGAGGGAAGGAGGGAGGTGTCCTTTTTTCCAACTGTTGCAATTCCTGACCAAAGGCACTCTTGCCAGCCCCGGGAAGAAAGACCCAAGGAAGAAACCTGGGGCGCTCGGCTGGTGTCCCCACCGCCGGGCTAGGGATGCGCGCGGTCCGTGAGCGGCAGACAGAAAGGATCGCGTTTCTGGACACGGCCGCCCCCCGCGTCTGCGCCCACCCCGCCAGGGACTAGTGACAGCGGCCGCCGCGCACGGTCCAGTCCTCCCCGGCAGGAAGGTGCGGGGGAGGGGCGGAGGAGCGGCGGGGCGGGGGTGGGGGGGAACTGGGCGGGCGGCTGGGGGCGGAGGCAGGACCTCCTGTACCTTCCCTCCTCGCCTCTCTCACTCTGACAGCGCCGAGGTGCGCCGAGCAGGAGCAGGGAACAAAGGAGCGGAGAGGGGAGGAGAGAGAGTTGGGCGAGGGAGAGCCGCCGGCCGGCTGCCAGAAGATCCTGGCGGGAGGAAGCCAGAGTGTCACTTGAATTCCACCCAAGGAGCGGGCGCCAGGGATCAGAGCGCCCTGTTTAGCAATAACGGCTGGAGCACGTCCTACAAGTTACGGGAGAGTAGGCCGTGAAGGAGACGATTGCTTGTCCTCTGGGTCCCCGCTCCTGGCCCCTGGACACCCCAGCCCTGCCTCGCGCTGGGAGGGGAGTTTCAGAATGAAAGGCAAGAAAGGTAAGGCGGCCGCGGGCCGCGCGCACCGGGGGACGCGAGTCCGGGGGAAACGTGCTGTCCGTGTCGCGCCGCCCCGAGTCACTTGGTGGACTTTTCCGCTCAGAGGCGCTTAGGCTGGAGCGGCGGCCGTGCTCTTTGTTGAGGCTGCGTCTGAAACGGCAGCGGCTGTTTTCCTGCTAGACACAACAAGAGGGGCTGTTGTGGGGCGATCCTCTCCACGCTGCTGGCACGTTGTCAAGAAACACGCTCAGCGCCTTGTTTGTGCGCCTGCAAGTTTCATTGTCTCCGGCGACACCCCACGCTTAGCCCAGCAGCCGCGTGGCTGCTCGCTCTTTCTCGAGCGCTGGGGATATGCGGTCGGAGTCGGGGGGACCCAGCACCTCGTTTTTCCCGATCGCGATCCGAGGCCGCGGGGGCTGCGGCACCGCCGCGTCTTTGTCTGAAAGAAAGTTTACTCCTGGGCTCCCCGCTACCGCCCCCCTACTCCCAGCCGGGCCCGAGCACTGTTCTTTAGGGATGTGGTGTTTTTACGCTGGAAGGAATGTGATTGTGGACCCCCACATCGTCCTTGGTTGTAAACAGCTCTGGAAAGTCAGACGTTTACAAATTCTCAGTCTCTAAAAGTTTTCCCACGATGAATTTTGGGGCAGGAGGAAGAGTTAGGACACAGGGCCAGCCGCTTCAAGCGGCGTGCAGTCAAAATGTGTCCAAAAGTGACAAGCAGGCTTGGTTGTAAATGCAAAGAGCAAGGCTGTCATTGTTTCCACAAAGCGTTCTGGAAGCTTTGCAACTAAAACTTGCCGTCAGTTTGCTTTAAAAACAAAATACACCGCGGGGGGCGGGGGGAAAGAAACCACACGCAACACCCCGAAAGGTCAAAGAATGTGAAGTCCCTTTTGAAGTTAACTTTTGAGTCCCGGGCTGGGAGGTCCCCCGAGTGTTCCGCCGTGGGCTGGAGGTGGCGTTTCTGTTGTGATTTATGTGGAGTGCTTCAAAACAGAAGTTAATCGCTCGGGAAGCGGACGGGAGGGGCGGCGCTGCTGCGCATGCCCGGGAGCGGCCGGAGTTTGGAACTCCGCATTCTTGCAGACCCGGCCCGCTGGGGGGCGTTCCTCGGGGGTAGCCGTTAGGCCAGCGGGGTTCCTTCGGCTGCGTTTCTGTGGGAGGCCCCCGAAACGCGTGGAGCTTCCCTCTGTCGCCAGGCTTTCCCAGCGAGAGTGAAATTAAACGTGAAACTCGGATCAACTGATAGTGGTTGGTGGTAGAACGCCCCGAGGTCCCCTCCCCGCGGGACGGAGGGAGGACACTGGACAGGGAATTGGCTCTGGGAGAAAACGCGCGGGGAGCGTCCGAGACGCCCCGTGAAAGCCGTGCGGAACCTTGGGAGGACTGAAAGGTCTAGGAAGGCTCGCTGTCTGTTCTGGTGGGGCTCCCCGGAATAAGTATGGGGGGTCTGTTAGGAGCTCGTTCTAGCGCAGAGCCCGGCTTCCGCCCGGGTGGGCTCCCCGCATTGTTCGGGTTCTGGAGGGGGCGGCGGCTCTGATTATTTTCCTTGGCCCGCCCGGCACCGCGGGAACCACGGCGCTCTTCCTTCACGGCTTTCCTGGCGTCCCCTTCGACTCTTCCGCGGCACTTTCCCCTACCTTCCCCCAGCGCCCTGGCCCTCCCTGGCGACCCCTCTGTACTTCCGGGGCCCTCCTGCCCGTCCCCCGGCGCACCCCCCACCGCCTCGTGCCCTCTCCCCAGAGTCGGGGATAGAGGCTGGGCTCCGCGGGCCGCAAGGGTGGGAACCTCCGTGCTCCACATCCCAGGGCGCGCCGGGTCCATCTCTTCGGTGCCGACCAGGGAAACAAAGGTGATGTGCTGGAGGAGAAACTTTGCGAGTGCTTCAGGGCTCATGGGGGCAGCCGAGGCTGCCGGGGTTACCCGGGTTTTTTTCCCCTTTTTAGGTTCCCCTGGCGAGCCGTCTGGGGTGGGCAGGCCCCTGAGAACGTGGGATTCACGGCCTCATTTCTAGTTTCTTGGGACCTGGAGTTACTTTGCTTATGCTAACTCGTGCAGTATGCGGGCCTGTTTGACCAGGGGCTGAGGAGCTCTCAAGAACAAAAGCTACTTGCTTTACTCCTTGGGCCCCTCCCTCTCTCCGTGCTCCTTCGCAGTCCTCCTCCCGCGCCTCTAAAACTACATGGGAGGGGGGAGCCTTCTTGGTGGGCTCTGGAAGGACTCGTGAGGAAGTCGGGCCCGCCTATTGTCCCATTAAAGTCTGAAATCTTTTCAAGTTTTCTTAAAACAAGTGCACTTTGAAACTCCATTCTCTCAAGCCCGGGGTTTGGTAAGACCGGTGTATGATGATAGCGTGTCCTCCCAGAAAGCTGCGAGTGACGCCAAAAGATCTCCTAAAATGGCTTAAAAACAAGCCGAAAGAAGGATCGATAAGGTCTTTTTGTTCCCAGTTTCTAACTGTTGAATTCCTGCTTTCGGATTGCGCTTTGGCTGGAATCGCCTAGCACACCTTGGATTTGATGGCTTGGGTGTTCGATTCCTGTTGCTTCTCCCAAGGATATATTGAATTTTGTTTTTCTTTCTTTCTTTTTTTTTTTCTGGAGACGGTTTCGGCTGTGTTGCCCAGGCTGGGCTCGAACTCCTGGGTTCAAGAGATCCTCTTGCTTTGGCTTCCCAAAGTTCTGGGATTACAGGCAAGAGACCTCTCTCCCGGATCACAGGCGAACTTCTGATCAGGAAACTTGGGTTAAATTTGCTTTTCCCTAATTGTGCACCTCGACTTTTCCCATCGATCTTATTTCTAGATTCTCTTCACAAACGGAGTCTCCCTGCCCCCCAGTCTCATCTTGGTGTTACCGAGCCACTCAGGAAAGTGCAGGGCCGGGCGCGGTAGCTCACGCCTGTAATCCTAGCACTTTGGGGAGGCTAAAGCGGGCAGTTCACCTGAGGTCGGGAGATCGAGAGGAGCCTGACCAACATGGAGAAAACCCGTATCTACTAAAAATATAAAATTAGTCGGACGTGGTGCCGTGTGCCTGTAATCCCAGCTACTCGGGAGGCAGAGGCAGGAGAATCGCTTGAACCCGGGCGGCGGAGGTTGCGGTGAGCCAAGGTCGCGCCATTGCACTCCAGCCTTGGCAACAAGAGCGAAACGCTGTCTCAAAAAAGAAAGAAAGTGCAGAAACAGGGTCTCTGCTTAGAGCAGTGGATCCTCAGGCGATGTTGTGGCTTTCTGCACATTTCCTTGTATGTGGATAGAATGAAAGAAGTTTGTGATTCTGCCCCCACCCTTCCCACCGCCACATTTTTTGAAGTGTAAGCAAAGCAAGAAGTTTGGAAACAAGTCTTAACCGGGAAACTTTTCAAAAGCTCTGTTACAATAGGAAATGAGTAAGGAGGAAAAAAGTCTTTGTTTTTCCAAGTTAAGCCACAACCAAGCGGGAGGGTTTTAATGAAAACAGTCCTGACAGCAGCAAACGTGGTTTTACTGCAGTGAAATATCAGCTGGCGTAGCCTAGGAACTGAAGTCTTAACTTCCTGTTACTTCAGCTTTTGTGCACATATTGGAAATATTTGTTAAGAGTTCCAGAGGCCTGGCATTCATTTATTTAAATGAACTGAGAACGGAGTAAATTCTCGCTGCAGTTTGGTGTTGCTTAACTGAAACCTGCTTTTGTGTGTCACTAACCTATTCTGAAAGATCAGACTTCTTGTCAAACTAGGCAAGCAGATCAAAGGGCAGGCTTCAGGGGCTTTTTTGTTTCAAACTCTTTGTGATTACCAACTTACAGTTGGGAATTCACTGTTCAATAAGCAAATTTTCACACTTTTTCTAGATTAAAAAAAGGAAGGAGATAATAGCCTTGAGAATAATGTCTGGCTTTTCAGACATAGGAGAGTTTAAACAAATTGCTTTATTCAAATTTGCTTTAGTCATTTAATTAACTTGACACAGTTTTTTTAAGTTCGATTTCTTTCATATTAAACCCAATGTAAGACAGGAACTCAGCTATAGTTTCTTTAAGCTTTTTTGTAAGAATTCTTCACCCAAATTTAAATATGGTTTTTGAAAGTCTTATCTTGTCGATAGTGAAAGTAGTTTCAGTTTTAAATGGGCACTTAAAACAAAACAAAACAAAATTTCCATCATCGGGGGAGGGAAATTTCAAATACACAGCAGTTAAAACTTAGGATTCTTGGGTAGTTTATTTGTAGCTGTTTAAGCCCTGAGCTAAAGTGTGAATTTGCAAGATGATCCACCTCTTTGTTAGAACTTGCTTTACTTTGTCTTTGGAGAGTTCTGCCTTTTGTAGGAATAGCCTCCAGCAACTTCTGCCCCCTGCAGTCCAAAACTAAAAATGTGTCACCAAGTCAGAGTCAATTAAAAGGGTAGGAAAAATTCCTTTAAAAAAAAATGGGTGTTTAGCTTAAAGGGAATATTTCATTTTTAGTTCCTGTCAGGGTGAACTGGCTTAATTAAGGTCAAGTAATGTTTTCAACCAAATTACATACTGCAGAGGAAAGAAAGTATACAAAGCTAAAAATGCATACCTTTACATTTTTTTGTTATTTTAGTAACTTCCCCTAATACAGAAGTACTGGTGTTTTCAGGCATGCGATTGTTTGTAGTTTGTAATTCGTTTCTATGTTTAAGATTCTAGATTGCCTACAAACAAAAGAATGTATTTCTTTAGTCATTCAGAGTAGCTGGCTGTAGTTTTTGAAAGGTGGAGTTAATAGCGTTTGTTATTTAATTTTTTTTAAAGTTCAGAATGATGTTTGAATATCTGTAAAGGCCAGGTCTGTAGTTTTATTGAACCCAGTCCATCAGTGATTTAAATATTCTCTATGGCTTGTGAATTCTTAAAATTTCTGGCAGGATTAAAGTACTTACAGCCAAAAGAACTTCCTCTGGGGATTGCATATTCAGTTTCCTTTGTCATGTAATCATTTAAGACTAAACTCTGCTTATTGATATGTAGTATTCTATTCTAGGTTGAGATCTAACTGGCAGCTGAAATTTTGGAGACATTTTAAATTCATTTACTATTAGGCAACTTTTAACCTTATTAAAGTACCAGTAGTAGAAAAATATTTTCGTGTGATGAAATGGAAAACATCAGTGGTTATATTTAATAAAAAGTGACTAGTACTAATTTCGAATAAAAGTATATAGCAATGAATACTAAATGACCAGGCATGGTATTAGAAGAAAATTTTAGCATGTATTTTACCTGTAGGATACTGAGTTCGGTGTAGTATGTCAATTTCCTGGTGTATATCCGTGAAAAAAAAATGTACGAGTGTCCCCTTTTACTTCAAACATTCAGTAGAAGAAAGAGGAAGAGAAACATTTAAAATCTACATTAGGATGCTGGTTAGGCTGCTTTTCCTACTTAGCACTGATCTTAGAAAAAAGGTTGGTAGGCACATTCCAACTGCCACAGCACCCTTCCTGTTTCAGATGTGACAGGTTATTCACTTTGGGTGCAATTTGTCTCCTCTAATGATTAGACGAAAGAGGTTTCTGAGCATCATTCAAAAGGAATGTGAGAAGTTAATGAATCCTGGAGGAAAGTGGCTGAGAAAAGGCGTCTGGCATTTGGTTGAGAATCTCCTATGTGGTGCTAGTCAATTACTTTGACTTGTACCCTGAATTCAGGACAGAAAACACTGCTCCTTCTCTTGCTCTCGGTTGCTGGGAAAGCATGGTCACACTGAATGATCCACGGAAGTGAGCTTTGCAGTAGTTGCTCTGCTTATAAAAGCAATTGACAACTGGCCCTTGTCCTTTCATAGGTATTGTTGCAGCATCTGGCAGTGAGAGTGAGGATGAGGACAGTATGGACATTCCCTTGGACCTTTCTTCATCCACTGGCTCAAGCAAGAGAAGGAGAAGGGGCAACCTACCCAAGGAGTCTGTGCAGATTCTTCGGGATTGGCTGTATGAGCACCGTTACAATGCCTATCCTTCCGAGCAAGAAAAAGCATTGCTGTCCCAGCAAACACACCTGTCTACACTACAGGTAAAGAAAGAGAGCATGAGGTTTACAGATGCTTTTTTATTTTCAAAGTCATTTTATGGCATTCTTGTGAGTCATCAAGCTCCTCGCCACTCCAAGACAGAAGGAATATCTTTTTATTGTAAACTTGATAGTGTTAAAAGCTAAAAACCAGCTATTTAGAGAACACAGAAACACTTCACAGTTATCTGTCAGATAGCATTTCCTTTAATGCCTAAAGGAACCTTCTTTATGCAACAGACATTAGAAGGAGGTTAAACCTTACTCTATTGCCCAGGAAACTGGTTTGATATTTAAACAAGGACAGACTTCAGTGAGGTAATTCCTGTTATATCTGTTGACATAGTCGTTTGAACTGGGAAAAATCAGTTACTGGGAGGAGTGGCCCTTTTCATAAGATGAGGTTTTCCTGTAGTTGATTAACTTAAATGTTGGGACAGTAGGTGATAGGTTAAAATGGGGGAGAGTTAAAAGGTAAACTTCTCTCACTCTCTCAAATTGTTTTCAAGAATTTGAGATTTTATATTTCGTGTGTTTTTTGTTTGTTTTTTTGAAACCGAGTCTTGTTGTGTTACCAGACTGGAGTGAAGTGGCGCAGTCTCCGCTTACTGCAGCCTCTGCCTCCCGGGTTTAAGCAATTCCCTTACCTCAGCCTCCTGAGTAGCTGGGACTACAGGCACGCACCACCACGCTGGGCTAATTTTTTATATATTAGTAGGGATGGGTTTCACCATGTTGGTCAGGATGGTCTCAATCTGACCTCCTGATCCACCCACCTCGGCCTCCCAAAGTGCTGGGATTACAGGCATGAGCCACTGCGCCTGGCAGAGATTTTATAACTTTTTCTTTGTCCTGAAAACGTTTAAGGGTGAAGAGACAAAAAAGGAAATTTATATTAGAAACTAGAAGAAGGTTTATGATAGGAGGCAGCTTTCTGGCTTGGTGGAGCTCACATACTTTGAAATTACATTGTAAGTCCAGATAAGCCTTTTCATGTTTTCTTTAATACAGAAAGATCAATTAGGTACCCCGTAGAACATTCTCAGAACCTGTTGGCTGAGTGAATGAGGAAAGTGTTAAAGCGTACCGATATGATTTCAGGTCTGTAACTGGTTCATCAACGCCCGCCGAAGGCTCCTCCCTGACATGCTGAGAAAGGATGGCAAAGATCCAAATCAGTTCACAATTTCCCGCCGCGGAGCCAAGATTTCTGAAACGAGCTCTGTGGAGTCTGTGATGGGCATCAAAAACTTCATGCCAGCTCTAGAGGAGACCCCATTTCATTCCTGTACAGCTGGGCCAAACCCAACCCTAGGGAGGCCACTGTCTCCTAAGCCATCATCCCCCGGATCAGTTTTGGCCCGTCCATCAGTGATCTGCCATACCACTGTGACTGCGTTGAAAGATGTCCCTTTCTCTCTCTGCCAGTCAGTTGGTGTGGGACAAAACACAGATATACAGCAGATAGCGGCCAGCAACTTCACAGACACCTCTCTCATGTACCCAGAGGACACATGTAAATCTGGACCAAGTACAAATACACAGAGTGGTCTTTTCAACACTCCTCCCCCTACCCCACCGGACCTCAACCAGGACTTTAGCGGATTTCAGCTTCTAGTGGATGTTGCACTCAAACGGGCTGCAGAGATGGAGCTTCAGGCAAAACTTACAGCTTAACCCATTTTCAAGCAAAACCGTTCTCAGAAATGTCATGATTGCCGGGGTGATGGCAAGAGATGAATTGCATTATTTTATATATTTTTTATTAATATTTGCACATGGGATTGCTAAAACAGCTTCCTGTTACTGAGATGTCTTCAATGGAATACAGTCATTCCAAGAACTATAAACTCAAAGCTACTGTAGAAACGAAGGGTTTTCTTTTTTAAATTGTTTCTTGGTAGATTATTCATAATGTGAGAGGTTCCCAATGTCATGTGATTTTTTTTTTCTTCCCCGTTTTTGTTATTTTTCAGACTGTGCAATACTTAGAGAACCTATAGCATCTTCTCATTCCCATGTGGAACAGGATGCCCACATACTGTCTAATTAATAAATTTTCAATTTTTTTTCAAACAAGTATGAATCTAGTTGATGCCTTTTTTTCATGACATAATAAAGTATTTTCTTTAAAAATTGTTGTAATTCAGAGTATTTCTGTTGAGGGAGGCGCTTCTTAAAAATGAGTAGGAATATAGCACCCCAGTGAGCAGGAAGTTTGAGGGGTAGGGTGCAGTGGTAGGGGGTGTCACCAGCTCTTTGAAAAACTGTGGACAACAAGCCAGTTTGCATAAACAGGATGTGTGATATTTACTCTTGATAGCAGGCCCTTAGAACTTTACTTAAACTGCATGGCAAATTGAAATGAATCATTTCAGTGTTTAGCCACTAAATCCCTTTATTGATCTGTCCTGCATAGTTTAAAACATGATCATTTTGTAAAGAAAAGTCTTGAAACATCCAGTTACTGCTAAGTTTTCAGAAGAAAACAACCCAAGCAATCTCTTGCCCTTTTTCCACATTACCCTTGAAAATAATTTCAGTAGTACAGTTAGTTAAGGCATTTCTATTCATATATGTAGTATTTGCAGAGAAATGACCTTTTAAAACATCTTAAAATGTTTCCTAAAATAAACAGTGGGATTCTGTCTGTGGTGGGATTGTTAGGTAAGTATTTTCCAAGGTCACAGTTTGTGAAAAAATAGTGCTATGTACAAGTGGAGTTTGTTGGGATGGACAATCACTTACAAAGCCCAGATGACCAGAAGGGAATTGATGTTGCTCCTTTCACTTGTATGGTTGAGCAGATTTGTCACATGCCACAAAACCATTCTTTGTAGTCATGCTTAGTATGAGCTTTCTTTGTTGTTACAGTCATGTTCTTTCCAGCTCTGCCCCAGCTATGAATTGTACGTGTGAGAGGGAGCATCAGAGCTTCAGTATTGTTTAAAGAATGTAGGAAAATTCTTACAAATTTAAGTTTGTCTAATTTTGAAACTATTTTAGAAAGTCTCTACTGTAGAAAGAGCTAAACTCAAAGACTTTTCTTGTAAGTGAAAGAAAAAACTGATGATGACTACCCAGAGGTGTAAGAAAAATTGAGGGAATGTTGTGCCTGTAGGGTACAGCTTTGTAGGGCACACTCAGCTTAAAGGGGTCTAGCCCACCTCAGAGAGTCACAGAAATGGATAAAAACCCAAAAAGTACTAGTAAACACAAGGAACAAAACACACATTAATAAAAATGAATGACGCAAAGGTGATCAAGAATCATTACTTCCTCCAACAGCTAGATCAAAGGCTGAACGTTTTGCTTTAGTATAGTTGAGGGATTGCCCTGGTACAATGTTTCATCCCTCACACTGGAAGGGGAAGGAAAGCAGCAACATTACTCATTTAAAACAAAGACTATTAAAAGAGTCAATGAAACCCAAAGATTAAAAAAAAAAGTCACCCTCAATTCTCTGTTTTACTTCATTTTTTTCTCTATGGAGGTTGTTACATGTTATGGTTGATGATAACAGCTGATGTTCAGTGAATGTAAACCATAATGAAAAATGTAAGCTATTAATATCAAAGTCAAATAGAAATGATTTTTATGCTTATAATTTACATGGTGCACTATATCTTCTTAAATTTTTTTCCTAGTCCGCTCCCAATTTGTTCACTTTTTACCTCTTTGTGTTTTTGAAGTTCATCTCATATTGCGTATAGTTGGGTCTTGGTTTTTTATTTAGTCTAATCTCTGCCTTTTACTCAGCATTTGTCGATTTATATTACTGTAATTATTGATATGTTTAGATTGAGTTTACCATTTGGCTTTTTTTGCTGCTCCTCTTTTTCTGCCTTTTTTCAGTTTGAATTTTTTTTCTTTTTCTTTTTTTTAGATGAGACTTTTGCATTGAGAATATTTGTTTTTTTCTTTTTAAAGTTTTTTTTTTGTTTGTTTTGCTTTTTTTGACACAGGGTCACTCTTGCCCAGGCCAGAGTACAGTGGCATGATCTTGGCCCACTATAATCTCCAAATCCCAGGTTCAAGGGATTCTCGTGCCTCAGCCTCCCAAGTAGCTGAGATTATAGGCATGCACCACCACACCCGGCTAATTTTGTATTTTTAGTAGAGATGGGATTTTGCCATGTTGCCCAGGTTGGTCTTAAACTCCTGACCTCAAGTGAATCGCCTGTCTCAGATTCCCAAAGTGTTGGGATTACAGGCGTGAGCCACCAAGTTCTGCTTATTTTTATAGATTTAGGGGATACAAATGCAGTTTTGTGTTTTAAATTTTCTATTGGTTTATAAACCATACACTGTATTTTTAAAATGGTTCTTCTAGGTATTACAACATATTTAACCTACTACAATCTACTTAGGGTTAACATGATACAGCTTCACATAAAATATAGAACCTTGCAGCAGTGCAGTTCCATTCACACGCCCTCTCTCTTCCTTGGTTTTTCACATATATTACGGCTACATAGATAATAAACACAACAGGACGATGCTATAATTTTTACTTAAAACAAGCAAATGTCATTTAAATGATTAAGAGAAAAAAGAATATGTATCTTTTATATTTGCCAAGTATTGACCATTTCTGATGTTCTTCATTCTCCTATATATTTGAGTGACATCTGATGTCTTTCCTTTTCAGCTTGAATGATTTCTTTGAGAACTGTAATCCAGGCCTGCTCGTGATAAGTTTAGGCTCATTGAAACTCTTTGAAAATGAGCTCATTGAAAATGACTTGCTTTCACTAATCTCTGAGTTTCACTGATGGAGAATTCCGGGTTGATAGCTTTTTTTCTTATAGCACTTCAAAAGCATTTATTGTCTTTTGGCCTCCATTGTTTCTGATGAGACATAAGCTGTCATTGGTATCATTCTCATATATATAAAATGTCTTTTTCTCTGGCTGTTTTTTGAATTTCAGCAGTTTCACTTAAATGTGCCTAGGTGTGGTTTCTTTGTACTTATTTAGCTGGGGGTTCACTGAGCTTCTTGGATCTGTAAATCTGTGTTTTTGTTTTAAAGTCAAATTGGGGGAAATTTTGGCCATTTTTTTTTTTCAATTTATTTTCTGCTTTCCTGTCTCCTAGAAGCCAGTAAATTTATATTAGATCACTTGAGGTTGTCCTACATGTCTCTGAAGCTCTTCTTTCTTCAGTCTTGTTTCTATTTTAGATGGAATAATTTGTATAATTTATTGGCAATTCACTAACTCTTGTACTGTCTTCAGTATGCTGATGAACCCATTCAGTGGACTTTCATTACAGTTATTGTATATTTTTCACATGTAAAATTTCCATTTGGTTCTTAAGCATTCCTAATTCTCTTCTGAGATTCCTCATTACTATAAATATATATCCTTATATGCATTTATAGTAGCTCTCTTAAATACATGTTTGCTAACTGTAACATGTCTTATTCAGAATCAGTTTCCATTGATTGTATTTCACTTCTGTATGGGGTCACTTTGTTTTGTTTTTGTTTTTGTTTTTGGCTTGTCTGTTTTTTATTATATGCTGGACAATATGGGTGGTACATTCATAAAGACTATGGATTCAGCTACATTCCTCTGAACAGTTAACATATGTCCTCAGGCAGCTCATTTGGCTGAACTGAAACTTCAAACCATCCAGTAATGGATAAGCAGCTGCAGTCTGATTAGTTTTTAGCTTCCAGCTGCTGCCTTTCAGTGGGCCCACTGGGGTCTCCCCTGCTGCACAAATCAACTATGGATTTGAACAAAATATCTGTTCAGAGGTTGAGATTTGCTCCTTCTTCACTTCCCCTCTTTCCAGAATTCACCTAGCCTTCCTAACTTTTGCTTTGCTCTTCCCACTCCACCTCTGTCCTTGACATCTCAAGCCACTGAAGTTGCAACTTTCTGCCACCCTAACCTTTTGAAGAATAAAGACTGTTTTCAGGCTTAAAGGTACAAACTTGTATATCTTGAGGTTCCCTTCTTTAAGGGAAGATGACCTCCAGTTTCTGCCTGCTTTTGGTTATTCTTCAGGCCTTCAACTAGTTTTTTGTTTGTTTAACTTTTTGTTCATTCATACTTTATGATTGCTACCTGCAGGGGATTAGTCTAAAAAAAGAAAAAAAATCCACCATTACTAGAAACTAGAATTTTACTATAGTTGCTTTGAAACTCCAAATTAGTGATTTTCAAACTTAACACTGGAATCACCTAGAAAGCTTAAAAAAATACTGTGGCCTTGAGTTGGGAATTTTTAGAAGATCTCTTAGTGATTCCAATGCATAGACAAGTTTGAGAACCACCGCCTTAAATGAGTCTTTAAATCAGCCATTGTTTCTCTCCTTATCCAGAACAAAGGGAGTTGACCATTCTTTTTCTCGACGTAAAAAGAAAAAAAAATTGTTTTTGTAGTCTTTTTGTTAGGACAGAAGGACTGAAAATTATAGTCTTACAGAAATGTAATTTGTCTTAGAGAAATGTAATTTTCTGTAGAATTATTTTGTCACCCAGGTCAGCTTATTCAATTAGAGTTCGCATAAATTTGATATTTGACACTATATACAAGTAGCTCATACAAATGTAAAACTAAGCCTCTGACTGGTAGACCCCAAAGCACTTCAGGAATACAAAATATTCATTTGTATTAAATCAAAAAGTAAAATTTATCTCTGGAAACTGGCCAGCGAGCAAAACGCAATGTTTAGGTTTTAGGTATCATTAAGAGCATTAACAGGAGAATGTGCCAAGTCTTAACCTCCAAAAATCGTGACCTCTAATTAAAAACAGGCTATGTTCTGGGCTGAGTTTTATGATTCAGAGGCTGAAAAGAGAGACATTCAACAAATGCTTTGTGGCTGAAAGAAGAGCAGTAACTTAGGGTTGATGGTTACAATAGCACAGCTGGCAAAGAAGGGAAGCATGAGAAATCAATGAATAAAAATAATCAGTAGTACAGGGATTTAACCAACTATCAAGGAAACAGGGTGTTTGAATGAAATGTGTCATAGACATCAATAGAATGTGCAACCTTTGAAGCATAGCGTGGGTGACTTACAAAGGGAACCAATTCCAGTGATGGAAATTTACTCAGATTTAGAAGGAATATATAGACAAACATTTAGGTAAGGAAAGGTAAGGAAAATAAAACCGTGGAGGATTTTAGAAGATAAATTGTTACCCTAGAAAGTGTCAGCTTTTTTTTTTTTTTTTTTTTAATATTCTAGGCTGGGTGAGGTGGCTCATACCTGTAATCCCAGCACGTTGAGAGGCTGAGATGGATGGATAACCTGAGGTCAGGGGTTCAAGACCAGCCTGACCAACATGGAGAAACCCCATCTCTACTAAAAATACAAAATTAGCCGGGCATGGTGGTGCATTCCTGTAATCTCAGCTACTCGGGAGGCTGAGGCAGGAGAATCACTTGAACCCAGGAGGTGGAGGTGGAGGTGAGTCGAGATTGTGCCATTGCACTCTAGCCTGGGCAACAAGAGCAAAACTCCATCTCAGTAAAAGAAAGAAAGAAAACAAAAGAAAGAAAAAAGTTTCAAACTATTTTCTTTTCTTTTTTTTTTTCCTGAGACAGGGTCTCACTCTGTCACCCGGGTTGGAGTACAGTGGCTTGATCTTGGCTCACTGCAACCTCCTCCTCCTGGGTTCAAGAAATTCTCATGCCTCAGGCTCCCAAGTAGCTGGGATTGGGATTGCTGGCTCATTTTTAAAATTATTTTTAGTAGAGACAGGGTTTCACCATGTCAGCTAGGCTGCTCTGGAACTTCTGACCTCAAATGATCCACCCGCCTTGGACTCCCAAAGTGCCGGGATTACAGGTGTGAGCCACTGCACCCAACCTCCAAACTATTTTCTTTATCAAGAAAATAACTGAAATTGGAACGTATTCTCATTCGATCAGATCATTCTAATGATTTTAAGACAAATTCAATTCTCCTATCTTGTCCCAAATTTTTGCTAATATATATTTTAATACTTTAAAGGCATCAATTCCATATAAATTGTAATGTGAGGATAAGGCATTCAGAGACTGTAAATAGGTTGAAATGCAGCAAAAAGTACACATTAAAAAATTTTTTTGAGACTGAGTTTCGCTCTTGATACCCAGGCTGGAGTGCAATGGCACTATCTCGGCTCACCGCAACCTCCGCCTCCTGGGTTCAAGCAGTTCTGCCTCAGTCTCCCGAGTAGCTGGGACTACAGGCGCGCACCACCATGCCCAGCTAATTTTTGTATTTTTAGTAGAGACGGGGTTTCACCTTGTTGACCAGGATGGTGTTGATCTCTTGACCTCATGATCCACCAACCTCGGCCTCCCAAAGTGCTGGGATTATAGTCGTGAGCCACCGCACCAGCAACACATTTAAATTTTTACATATGCCTCTTAAAAATTATCCTGTTTAACAAGTGAAAACAACTTTTGGACTTGTTGCCTAGTCTGATTATTAATGTTTTATTGCTAATTTTTTTTTTGGAAATGAAGTCTCGCTCTTGTCACCCAGGCTGGAGTGCAATGGTGTGATCTCGGCTCATTGCAACCTCCGCCTCCCAGGTTCAAGCGATTCTTCTGCTTCAGTCTCCAGAGCAGCTGGGTTTATAGGCGCCTGCCCCACACCCAGCTAATTTTTGTTTTTCGTAGAGACAGCGTTTCACCATGTTGGCCAGACTGGTCTCAAACTCCTGACCTCAGATGATTCTTTCGCCTGGGCCTCCCAAAGTGCTGGGATTACAAGCTTGAGCCACTGCACCTGGCCACTTTTAATTTCTTTCCAATGATATTTTCAGGAATTTTTTTGGTGGTGGTGGTGGTTGTTTTGAGACAGGATCTTGCTGTGTCACCTAGTGGAATGCAGTGACGTGGTCATACCTCATTGCAATCTTGAACTCCTGGGCACAAATGATCCTCCTGCCTCAGCCTCCTGAGTACCTAGGACTATAGGCGAGCTCCACTAAGCCCAGCTTTTAAAATTTTATAGAGATGAGGTCTCACTGTGTTCCTCAGGCTGGTCCCAAACTCCTGGCCTCAAACGATTCTCCTGCCTCGGCGTCCCAAAGTGCTGGGATTACAAGTGTGAGTCACTGTGCCTAGCCTGATTTTCTTTTTCTTTTTTTTTTTTTTGAGATGGAGTCTTGCTCTCTTTCCAGGCTAGAGTGCAGTGGTGTGATCGCAGCTCACTGCCACCTCCACTTCCCGGGTTCAAGCAATTCTTCTGCTTCAGCCTCCGGAGTAGCTAGGATTACAGGTGCCTGCCACCATGCCCAGCTAATTTTTGTATTTTTAGTGGAGACCAGGTTTTACTATGTTGGCCAGGCTAGTCTCGAATTCCTGACCTCATGATCCTCCCACCTCGGCCTCCCAAAGTGCTGGGATTACAGGTGTGAGCCACCGTGCCCAGCCCTGATTTTCATTTTGAAATTTGATTTACTTGAATGATTCTGTGAAAAGCCAATGTGTATTACATTAATCAACATTTTTCTTCCAGCTGGGCGTGGTGGCTTACCAGTCTGGGCAGCATAGTGAGATCTTGTCTCTACAGAAAAATTAAAAATTAGCCAGGCATGGTGGCATGCACCTTTAGTCCCAGCTACTTGGGAGGCGGAGGCAGGAGGATTGCTTGAGCCACGGAATTTGAGGCTGGAGTGAGCCACAGTTACAGCACTGCATTCCAGCCTGGACAGCCGAGCAAAACCCTGTCTCAAAAAAACCCAAAACATTTTTTTTCCCCTAGCTTGCTTGTACAATAAATCTATACAATCTAGAAGAGCATTTATTTATTTATTTGTTTGTTTGTTTTGAGATGGAGTTTCGCTCTTGTTACCCAGGCTGGAGTGCAATGGCGCGATCTCGGCTCACCGCAACCTCCGCCTCCTAGGTTCAAGCAATTCTCTTACCTCAGCCTCCTGAGTAGCTGGGACTACAGGCTGCGCCACCATGCCCAGCTAATTTTTGTATTTTTAGTAGAGATGGGGTTTCACCATGTTGACCAGGATGGTCTCAATGTCTTGACCTCGTGATCCACCTGCCTCCGCCTCCCAAAGTGAGCATTTATTTTTAATTAACTAATTAACAGCTTGATTCAGTCATATCACAATGTATACATATATCAAAACGTCATGCTGTATGCCATAAATGCATGCTTTTCTTAATTGAAAAAATAAAAGTAAGAAACTTAAAACAAAAAATAGTCCAGCCAGGTGCAATGGCTCATGCCTACAATCCCAGTGCTTTGAGAGGCTAAGGTGAGCAGATCACTTGAGGCCAGGAGTTTGAGACCAGCCTGGCCAACATGGTGAAACCCCTTCTCTACTAAAAATACAGAAATTAGCAGGGCATGGTGGTGCATGTCTGTAATACCAGCTACTTGGGAGGCCGAAGCAGGAGGATCGCCTGAACTTGGGAGGCGGAAGTTGCAGTGGGCAGAGATCACACCACTGCACTCCAGCCTGGGCAAAAGAGTGAAACTCCATCTCAAAGATAAATAAATAAATAAAAATAGCCCTTTCCATTATAGTATTATTTTCTGTCATCTGTAAACCCAGTGTTAAATTGAAAGTATTAGTTTAATTTCAGAAGGAAAATATATATTTATCAAACACCTTATATTAAATTATTAATTATATTATTATATTTATTGACTACCATATATCCATATTTAGTCCTCACAACCCTTATGGGACATGTTATTCCCATTGTGTAGCTGAGAAAACAGACTCTTCAAAGTTCAGCTTGTCTGTGGTTACCAGCTGTAATGGGACCCATGCTCATGGGGTGATTCTGTGAGCTCACACTCTTTCCACACCCTATCCCCAAAATGAAACAACTTGAAACTGTCTCAATTTATATTATACTGCTCAATAAAGATTTGGGGGTTGCTTTGGCAGACTATCATATGCGAGCTCTCTTTTCCAAATATCACAACTTACTTTTCTGCTCTCTCAAATTCCTCCCTCCCCTCCCCCACTCCATTTCCTCGTGACCACATCTGCTTCTTGGAGACGCTTGCAGGATCCGACACATCCTCCTGGTTTCCTAAGTCTCATGACTAGCCAATGCCTGAATAATGAACTCCTCCAAGGCAAGAAATCTGTTTTGTAGCTTCTCTGCGTAAGTATTAACTTAACACTTAATCTATTATTCAACACATTTCATTTCCCTTTCTAGGTATCAGTTTTCTGAGCCTGCAGCCTTAGGCTAGTTCCCGATTTTTTTTTTTTAAAGGAAGTTTCTGTTTTTTATTTGAGTTCTGCTAGAATCTTTAGATCTATCCTAGTGGCTATGGTTTACTCTGTGCTGCGACTTTCCGTTTTCTCTCTACAAAAATTATGGTTTTTTAGCTATATTTCCCCCAATAGAGGTGAGGTACTGCTCTTATACAAATACTCGAAGTTACAAGTCCCACCTGCATTGAAAGGAAAGTAAAGATTTATGACAATGCAGTCTCATTCTTCTCTTCCAAACCCAAAACCTCCACCATTTTTGAAACAAGGCATGTTCTTTAGGGCTGGAGGTCTTCAACGGCATATACCATGAGTAAAGATCAGCTTTAAAATAAATATGTACCTCCAAGGGAAGAAAATTAAGGAGGCCATTCAGAAAGCTAAGATGCAACAGGAATAAATAGCCTGTGAAAGTTTTATGAAAGGATTGCCACCTCCTGCCTTGATGAAAAGATTAACTTGATTTGGTGAAATACGCTGCTATTTGCAGGCAGGTGCTGGCCTGATTCACCAAGGCTGTGTTAATTCGAGTCTGCAGAGGTACCTTTGATCAGCTCTCAGAGCCTCAGCAATGGCTCGGGAAATATCAAAACGCTGTAGAGCAGGCTCTAATCTCAGCCTTCCTGTTTCTATGCCTGCCCATTAGGTTCACACAGGACAGCCTGGTTTCCTTGGAGGGCATTTTCCACATTGTGCATTATGAATGATCATCCTGGAAATCAGGATATCAAGCCCTGTATCCACATCCAGGGGGCTATAAAATCTCTGCAAAAGGAGAAGCTGGACTCAGTCTGGTTTCCAATGATGTGTACATGGGGATATGTGAATTAATGCTTGCATCTAATGCTGGAAGTAACAACAGTTTAGTTGGGGGGAACTCTATTATCATAATGCAGCTGCTAAGTGCAACATAGTCTGTGCATGAAAATGACACGCGTATAACAGGTTTGGATGATAGTGGGGCTCTGGCAGTGGACTGAGAACTCTGAGCTAGAAGCAAAATGATAATATCCTTTACCAAGCCAGGGTGGTAGGTCAGGTAGCATGGATATTTTTTCGAAAAGCTGACTTCTTATCCTGTTTTTTTTTTTTTTTTTGAGACAAGGTTTCACTTTTGGCCAGGCTGGAACAATCATAGTGCACAGCAGCCTCACCATCCCAGGCTCAAGTGATCCTCCCACCTCACCGTCCTCAGTAGCTGAGACTACAGGTGTACACCACCACACCTGGCTAATTAAAAAAAATTATACAGGCCAAGCATGATGGCTCATGCCTGTAATCCCAGCACTTTGGGAGGTCAAGGTGGGCTGATCACTTGAGATTGGGAGTTCGAGACCAGCCTGACCAACATGGAGAAATCCTGTCTCTACTAAAAATACAAAAATTAGCCCAATGTGGTGGCATGTGCCTCTAATCCCGGCTACTCAGGAGGCTGAGGCAGGAGAATCGCTTGAACTTGGGAGGCAGAGATTTCAGTGAGCTGAGATCATGCACTCCAGCCTGGGCGACAAGAGCAAAACTCCATCTCAAAAAAAAAATCTGTACAGACAGGGTCTCTCTATGTTGCTGAGGCTGGTCACAAAGTCCTGGGCTCAAGCAATCCTCCCACCTCAGCCTCCTACGGTGCTGGGATTACAGGTGTGAGCCACTCCCCTTGGCTTCTCATCCTTTTTACTCTCAATGACAGGCTCTTACTTGCCCTTGGGCTTTATTTCCCTTTCCAGGCACATTTCCCTTATTTCTCCTCCAGAGTCTTACATTCCCATGTTTGGAATTTTAAAAAATTGATGTATTTCTTACATTGCATTGGGAGATACTTGAAAATCACTGGGGAGCGAGGTGCAGTGACTCACACTTGTAATCCCAACACTTTGGGATGCCCAGGCCAGTGGATTACTTGAGGTCAGAAGTTCAAGACCAGCCTGGCCAACATGGCAAAACCCTGTCTATACTAAAAATACAAAAATTAGCCGGGCACGGTGGCACATGCGTGTAATCCCAGCTACTCATGAGTAGGAGGTTGAGGCACGAGAATCGCTTGCACCCGAGAGGCAGAGGTTATAGCAAGCTGAGATTGCACCACTGTACTCCAGCCTGGGCGACAGTGAGATTGTCTCAAAACAACAACAACAACAACAACAAAAAAAAACAAACAAAAAACAGACCCACTAGGGAACCAGAAAAGAGAATTGAACTTCCATAGCTGCCAGCAAGTCATTCGGCATCTCTAAACCTGGTTTCTTTATCTCTTGTTATGTAAAAAAAAAAAACCAAATACCTACATTTCAAGGTTGTTGAGGATTAAATGAGGTGACAATGTGGAAACTCTTTAGAGTTTTAGAGCAAATCTGATTGACCTACAAATGCATGTTATTGTTGGATCTTAGAAGGGTGAGTCTGCCTCGCTCAGGTTCTAAATCCGGTTTCCACTTGCTGCCGGGGAGGTGACTGTCCCCTTCCCAGCGTCTTTGAGCTGGTCCTGCTGGGTCCTGGCCTTGCCGATTTCCTGCACCTCTAGTTTGCCTTCCTCCAGCTTCTTACAACAGCAGCAGCAAAGTTCCCTTCCCCCTGAGCCGTAATGGTGTCCTTACTTCTCTCCTATGATGGTATACAAGGAAGTAGTGTGATGGCTTCAGGCGAGGGCTGTAGGCTGGAGACAGTGGTGGCTGTTTTAGTGATGATGAGGTCATCATGATCCATGAAACTAAGCTGTGTGATTTTTTACCACTGGCATCATTCCCACAATGCTGAAAATAACACCAGTTCTTAATTACTATGGGGCTGACCACCCAGAGCCTTCGATTTGCTTTCTCCTTCACCCTCTGGGCTCACTAAGTAGAATACTCTGAAGAAGTCTCAATCTGCCTTTTGTGATTTTTGATATGCAGTAACTGAAGCTGTGCCCTGATACAGAAGGAAGAGAACTGAGCTTGGCTCCAGAATACCTGATAAGTATGACACAAGGCCAGCATAATACTAGCTGGGTGGCCAGGAGCAAACTAACTTCTTTGAGCTAGTTTTCTTACCAGTAAAGCAAAGAGTTGAATTAGATAATCTCTTAGGCCTCTGAAAGCTCTCAGGACATAAATAATACATATAGGTCTAGTAACAGTGTAGACTGTTTGAAATAAATGAAAGTTCCATAAGATACCTCTCATCCTAAGCCTGGGTTAAAAGGTTTGCCATAAAAGAGAATGCAAATAAAAAGGTTTAGTAGAGGGGATCTCAGAATGATGAAATGATTGGTTTCTTTGGGCAAAACCATCACAAGGGTGATTTGAAACTTTCAGGATGACATATCTGTTCAGAAAAAAGAACAGTCAGCCAGGCATGGTGGCTTGGCTCATGCCTGCAATCCCAGCACTTTGGGAGGCCAAGACTGATGGATCACTTGAGGCCAGGAGTTTGAGACCAGTCTTGTCAACATGGCAAAGCCCCGTCTCTACTAAACATATAAAAATTAGCCAAATGTGGTGGTTCATGCCTATAATCCCAGCTACTTGGGAGGCAGAGGCAGAAGAATTGCTTGAACCCGGGAGGTGGAGGTTACAGTAAGCCAAAATTGTACCCCTGCACTCTAGTCTAGGCTACAGAGTGAGAATAGAAAAAGAAAGGAACAGTCTGTGTCTAAGGGTTTTGTTTTAGTAGAAGTAACAGGAATTGATGTGAAGAGGAGGCGTGCCCTGATGCAAGGGCAGAGGGCAGAGAGCAGAGCACCAGGTGGTGCAGGGCAGAGGAGGGGAGGGTGAAGAGAATGGGGTGGAGGAGACAGGCAGGAAGAGAGGGGCATCATGGCCTGGTGGGTGGAAAGTGCCAGGCCAGCCCTGCTAAGACCGAGGGTGATGTTCCTCACTGGAGGAAGAAGGTGGGAAGACCTCAGGGAACCTCAAGGACCTCCAAGGATAGAAAACCTGGTGTTGATGAGGAGTTGATTAGGAAAATGACTGTGGTTCTATCAATATACACTTAGTTGAGAAGTCAGAGGAGCATTTGGAAACCAAGAGAAAAGAGCCTTGTTACTTCAAGGAAAAACAACGTATGACACCTGCAGTTAGGGCGTAGTGCTTTTAAAACTGAGCCATCCTTTCAGAGCAGCTGGGCAACTGCAGGCTTTAACATTAAGCACATTTGTCCAGGCCGGTGGCTCACATCTGTAATCCCAGCACTTTGGGAGGCTGAGGCGGGCAGATCATTTGAGGTCAGGAGTTTGAGACCAGGCTGGCAACATGGTGAAAGCCCGTCTCTATTAAAAATACAAAAATTTGCTGGGTGTGGTGATGTGTGTCTATAATCCCAGCTACTCGGAAGGCTGAGACAGGAGAATCACTTGAACCCGGGAGACAGAGGTTCCAGTGAGCTGAGATTGTGCCATGCATTCCAGCCTGGGCAACAGAGCAAGACTCTGTCTCAAAATAACAATAATAGTAATTAAGCACAGTTGAAGAATAGGGTAAGTCTTACTTGAGAGAGAGTTGCAGCTATGCAAGGCAGAATACTTTGAATTCAGGACTGCCTTAGGCAAAGATGGAGAGGGGCCAGGTGCGCAGTGAAGCAGGTAGGTATGAGTAGAAAACTCCGAAGCCTTTGAAATAGACCCAAAGTCCCCAGCTCTGGTTGAGCACCTGAATCTTCCGGCAGCAGTTTTCCAAAACAGGTGTCCCAACTCAGCCTTGGGCCAGCTCTGGAATTTGCAGGGCCCAGGGCAAAGTGCACATATATAGCCCCTTCCAAAACCACGAGAAATAGTACCATTAAAGGTACTCAAATGCCCTTTTCCTCTCTGCCAACTTGTCTTGGTGTTTCCTATTTGCTATTTAAAATTGTTTCAAGTAGAGATAAACTGCAATTTAAAATTATTAGCATGAATTTTTACCACTCGGCTTTATATCGTACACTAGCAGTTTTCAATGGAAAGATAAGCACATTTAACTTAGATGTGGAATCACCTAAATTATATACTTTCTATTTCATTGCTTATGCATAGATATATGTTTTGCTTTTACTAGAACAGGGGAAACACTACATAAAAGTAACTAAGGATTTTTTTTTTTTTTTTTTTTTTGAGACGGAGTTTCACTCTTGTTACCCAGACTGGAGTGCAATGGCACGATCTCAGCTCACCGCAACCTCCGCCTTCTGGGTTCAAGCAATTCTCCTGCCTCAGCCTCCTTAGTAGCTGGGACTACAGGCGCGCACTACCATGCCCAGCTAATTTTTTGTATTTTTAGTAGAGACAGGGTTTCACCTTGTTGACCAGGATGGTCTCGATCTCTTGACCTCGTGATCCACCCGCCTCAGCCTCCCAAAGTGTTGGGATTATAGGCTTGAGCCACCGAGCCCGGCCTAGGATTTTTTTTTTTTTTTTTTTTTTTGAGATGAATTTTTTCGCTCTTGTTGCCCAGGCTGGAGTGCAATGGCATAATATTGGCTCACCACAACCTCTACCTCCCAGTTTCAAGCCATTCTCCTGCCTCAGTCTCCCGAGTAGCTGGAATTACAGGCATGCGCCACCACACCCAGCTAATTTTTCTGTATTTGTAGTAGAGACGGGGTTTCTCCATATTGGTCAGGCTGGTCTTGAACTCCTGACCCTCAGGTGATCCGCCTGCCTCGGCCTCCCAAAGTGCTAGGATTACAGGTGTGAGCCACCATACCTGGCAATTTTTTTTCTTTACTTTTTTTTTTTTTTTTTTTTGAGACAGAGTCTCTGACACCCAGGCTGGAGTGCAGTGGTGCAGTATGGGCTCACTGCAACCTCTGCCTCCCGGGTTCAAGTGATTCTCCTGCCTGCCTCAGCCTCCTGAGTAGCTGGAATTACTTGGTACATTCCACCAAGCCTGGCTAATTTTGTATTTTTAGTACAGATGGGATTTTGCCATCTGGTCAAGCAGTCTTGAACTCCTGACCTCAAGATATCTGCCCACCTCGGCCTCCCAAAATGCTAGGATTACAGGTGTGAGCAACTGCGCAGGGCCTCTTCACTTCTTTTTTTTTTTTGAGAAGGAGTCTCACTCTGTCATCCAGGCTGGAGTGCAGCGGTGCGATATCAGCTCACTGCAATCTCCACCTCCTGGGTTCAAGCAATTCTCTGCCTCAGTCTCCCAAGTAGCTTGGATTACAGGCGCCCGCCATCATGGCTGGCCAATTTTTGTATTTTTAGTACAGTCAGGGTTTCATCATCTTGGCCAGGCTGAGTCTTGAACTCCTGACCTTGTGATCCACCCACCTCGGCCTCCCGAAGTGCTGGGATTACAGGCGAGAGCCACCACGCCCAGCCTCTTCATTTCTTTTCTCACGAGATGGGGTCTTGCTCAGTTGCCTAGTACAGTGGCACCATCATAGCTCACTGCAGCCTTGAACTCTTGGACTCAAGTCATCCTCCTGCCTCAGCCTCTTGAGTAGCTAGGACCACAGGCATACTCCATCAAGCCCCGCTGATTTTTTGTAATTTTTGTAGAGATGGGGTCTCGCTATGTTGCCCAGGCTGGTCTCGAACTCCTTGGGCTCAAGTGATCCTCCCACTTTGGCTTCCTAGGGTACTGGAATTGGAAGGTATGAGCCACTGCACTGAATTTTTGTTTCACTTCTTAATATACTCATATCCTACCATCATTGTCTACCTTAGGCTTAGTGAGGAAGAAAATGAACTGACGGCTACCTTCTCTTTCCCTGTCCTTCTTTGTCGTTGTTTTCAGCATAAGTATTTAGCTAATACAAACACATCTTGTATTATCTTTGTATTGTGCTTTGTTTTACTGCACTTTCCAGATACTGTATGTTTCACAAATGAAGGTTTGTGGTAACCCTGTGTCACGCAAGTCTGTCGGCGCCGTTTTTCCAGTAGCGTGTGCTCACTTCCGGTCTCTGTCAAACTTTGGTAATTGTTGCAATATTTCAGATTTTTCATGACTTTTATACCTGTTAAGGTGATCTGTGACCAGTGATCTTTCATGTTACTATTGTAATTGTTTTGGGTCACCATGAACTGCACCCATGTGAGACAGTGAACTTAAAAATTGTTGTGTGTTCTGATTGCTCCACTGACTGGCTGTTCCCTCATCTCTCTCCCTCTCCTAGGATCTCCCTATTCCCGGGGTACAATGATATTGGAATAAGGACAATTAATTACTCTATAATGGCCCCAAAGAGTTCAAGCGAAAGGAAGTTGGAGATCTCTCGCCTTCAATCAAAAGCAAGAAATGATTAAGCTTAGTGAGGAAGTCACGCTGAAAGCTGAGGCAGAACAAAAGCTGGGTCTCTTGTGCCAACTAGTTAACCAGGTTGTGAATCCAAAGGAAAAGTTCTTTTTTTTTTTTGAGACAAAGTCTCGCTCTGTCACCCAGGCTGGAGTGCCATTCACTGCAACCTCCACCTCCCGGGTTCAAGCGATTCTCCCTGCCTGCCACCACGCCCAGCTAATTTTTTGTATTTTTAGTAAAGACAGGTTTTCACCATGTTGGCCAGGCTGGTCTCAAACTCCTAACCTCAGGCAATCCAGTCTCCCAAAGTGCTGGGATTATAGGCACGAGCCGCCACATGATCTTGAAAGAAATTACAAGTGCTACTCCAATGAACATACAAATGATAAGAAAGCAAAACAGCCCTATTGCTGATATGGAGAAAGTCTGAATGGTCTGGATAGAGATCAAACCAGTCACAACATTCCCTTAAGCCAAAGCCTAAACCAGAGCAAGGTCCTAATTCTCTCCAGTTCTATGAAGGCTGAAAGAGGTGAGGAAGCTGCAGAAGAAAAGTTGGAAGTTAGCAAAGGTTGATTCTAGAGGGTTAAGGAAAAAAGCCACCTTCATAACATAAAAGTGCAGGATGAAGCAGCAAGTGCTGATGGAGAAGCTGTAGCAAGTTATCCAGAAGATCTTGCTAAGGTAATTGTTGAAGGTGTCTACATTCAACAACAGATTTTCAATGTAGACAAAGCAGCTTTCTACTGGTTGAAGATGCCATGTAGGCCTTTAATAGCTGGAGAAGAGAAGTCAATGCCTGGCTTCAAGCTTCAAGGGACAGACTGACTCTCTTATTAGGGGCTAATGCAACTGGTGATTTTAAGTTGAAGCCAATGCTCATTTACTATTCTAAAAATCCTAGGATCCTGAAGAATTATGTTGAATCTACTCTTCCTGTGCTCTACAAGTGGAACAACAAAGCCTGGATGATAGCGTATCTGTTTACATCATGGTTTGTGGAATAATTTAAGCCCACTGTTGAGATCTACTACTCAGAAAAAAAATTCCTTCCAAAATATTACTGTCCATTGACAATGAACCTAATCACCCAAGAGCTCTGATGGAGATGGACAGGAAGATGATTGCTGTTTCTGTGCCTACTAACACAATAACCACTTGACAGCTTACGGGTCAAGGAGTCATTTCAACTTTCAAGTCTTATTATTTAAGAAATAAAATTTGTGAGGAGGCTGGATGCAGTGGCTCACACCTGTAATCCCAGCATTTTGGGAAGCCAAGGTGGCCAGATCACCTGAGGTTGGGAGTTCGAGACCAGCCTGAGCAACATGGAGAAACTTCCTCTCTACTAAAAATACAAAATTATCCAGGTGTGGTGGTGCATACCTGCAATCCCAGCTACTGGAGAGGCTGAGGCAGGAGAACTGCTTGAACCTGGGAGGCAGAGGTTGCTATGAGCCAACATCGTGCTATTGCACTCCAGGTTGGGCAACAAGAGTGAAACTCCATCTCAAAAAATAAAAAAGAAATATAATTTGTAAGGGTAGAGCTGCTGTAGTGATTGATCTGGGCAAAGTCCATTGAAAATCTCTGGAAAGAATTCAGCACTCTATATGCCATTAGGAACATTTATGATTCATGGGAGGAGGTCAAGATATTAATGTTAACAGGAATTTGGAAGAAGATTCAAATTCTCATGGGCAACTTTGAGGGGCTCAAGACTTCAGTTGACGAAGTCACCAGAGATGTCCTGCAAATAGCAAGAGAATTAGAATTAGAAGTGGAGCCTGACGATGTGATGGAATTGCTGCAGTTTCATGGTTACACTTGAATGGATAAGGAACTGTTTCTTAGGAATGAGCAAAGAAAGTGGTTTCTTGGGCCGGGCACGGTGGCTCAAGCACTTTGGGAGGCCGAGGCGGGTGGATCATGAGGTCAGGAGATCGAGACCATCCTAGTCAACATGGTGAAACCCCGTCTCTACTAAAAATACAAAGACTTAGCTGGACATGGTGGTGCATGCCTGTAATCCCAGCTACTCAGGAGGCTGAGGCAGGAGAATTGCCTGAGCCCAGGAGGCGGAGGTTGCGGTGAGCCGAGATCGTGCCATTGCACTCCAGCCTGGGTAACAAGAGCGAAACTCCGTCTCAAAAAAAAGAAAGTGGTTTCTTGAGATGGAGTCTACTGGTGAAGATGCTGTGAACACTGTTGAAATGACAACAAAAGGCCAGGCATGGTGGCTCACACCTGTTATCCTAGAACTTTGAGAGGCTGAGGTGGGTGGATCACCTGAGGTCAGGAGTTTGAGTCCAGCCTGGTCAACATGGCGAGACCCTGTCTCTACTAAAAATACAAAAATTAGACAGGCGTGGTGGCAGGCGCTTGTAATACTCGGGAGGCTGAAGCAGGAAAATTGCTTGAGCCAAGAAGGCAGAGGTTACAGTGAGCTGAGATCACACCACTGCACTCCAGCCTGGGTGACAGAGCAAGACTCCACCTCAAAAACAAAAAAAGGGAAAAAAATCTTAGTTACTTTTATGTAGTGTTTCCCCTGTTCTAGTAAAAGCAAAACATATATCTATGAACAAGCAATGAAATACAAAGTGTGTAATTTAGGTGATTCCTCATCTAAGTTAAATGGACTTATCTGATGGTAGAGGTTTCAGTGAGCTGAGATCGAGCCATTGCACTCCAACCTGGGTGCAACAAGAGCAGAACTCTGTCTCAAAAAGAAAAGAAAAAGATGACAACAGAGGATTTAGAATATTCTGTAAACTTAGTTGATAAAGCAGTAACAGGATTTGAGAGAATTGACTCTGTATTAGTCCATATTCACACTGCTATTAAAGATATAACCGAGACTGGTAATTTATAAATAAAAAGAGGTTTGTTTTTGTTTTTGTTTTGAGACAGAGTTTTGCTCTTGTTGTCCAGACTGGAGTTCAATGGCACTATCTTGGCTCACTGCAACATCCACATCCCAGATTGAAGTGATTCTCCTGCTTCAGCCTCCTAAGTGGTAGCTGGGATTACAGGCACGTGCCACCACACCTGGCTAATTTTTTGTATTTTTAGTAGAGATGAGATTTCATCATGTTGGCCAAGCTGGTCTTGGCCTCCTGACCTCAGGTGATCCACCCACCTCAGCCTCCTGAAGTGCTGGGATTACAGGTGTGAGCCACCTTGCCCAGCCTAATAAAAAGAGGTTTAATGGACTCACAGTTCCACATGGCTTGGATGGCCACACAATCATGGTGTAAGGTGAAAGACGTGTCTTACATGGCAGCAGACAAGAGACACGGAAGCCAATCAAAAAGGGGAAACTCCTTATCAAACCATCAGATCTCGTGAGACTTAGTCACTACCACGAGAACAGCATGGGGGAAACCGCCCCATGATTCACTTATCTCCCTCTGGCTCCCTCCCACAACATGTGGGAATCACAGAAGCTACAGTTCAAGATGAGATTTGGGTGGGGACACTGCCAAACCATATCTGACTCCAATTTTGAAAGAAGTTCTGCTGTGGGTAAAATGCCATCAAGCAGCCTCACACGCAACAGAGAAATCTTTCATGAAAGTCAGAGTCAATAGATGTGGCAAAGTTCATTGTTGTCTTACTTTAGGATGGGGATAGAGGAGTGCTGCTCGGAGAGCAGGGCCCTCTGAGGGAGGAGCCCTTTGTGACTGCAGGGGATGCATGTTCGTAAGTGGCCCTGACCCCACCTCAGCATTTCACAACACAGATCTTACTTCACACTGGTATATTCTCTCTCTTTTTTTTTTAAAGAGATGGGTTCTCGCTATGTTGCCCAGGCTGGAGTGCAGTGGCTATTCACAGGCACAATCCTACTACTGATCAGCACGGAAGTTTTGACCTGCTCCATTTCTGACCTGGGCTGGTTCACCCATCCTTAGGCAACCTGGTGGCCCCCCGACTCCCGGGAAGTCACCATATTGATGCCAAACTTAGTGCTGACACCCGATCGGCATAGAGCACTACAGCCCAGAACTCCTGGGCTCAAGCGATCCTCCCACCTCAGCCTCCTGAGTAGCTGGGACTACAGGCACATGCCACCGTGCCCAGACATACTGGTATATTCTCTAGATTTTACACCCAGGGTCTCTAGAATGAAGGCAGGGAGAAAGGAAAGTAAGGAAGAGCTAGGCCCCAGTCATCTGCTAAAGACCTGGGTGAAAATATGGAAATGAAAGGACTCTGGCTAGTCCCTTCTTTCCCCTTCCTCCTATGTCCTCATTTTCAATGTCAGTTCAAGAGTTCACTACAACCAAGCTTCCAGTCAACCCTGGAAAAACTCTGCATAGATCATTTTTGTAACTTTAAGAGTTGCACTAGCTCGAGGCACTGGGGAGGGATATATCCTTCCTCTTCACCCTACATTTTGTTTTTAGACCTTGGGTACCAAAGCTCTATGATGGAAGCCAGGTTGAGGGCAGAGTGCTTATCTTTCAGACCCCCAAATAAGAAACACTAGTCTAGGGGAGCTAGAGGACTGGAATCCAGTATCATCTCCAATGAAATCCAGCTGGATAAATCCCAAACCCACTTATGGGGAAGGCTGGTGAAGAGCACTCAACTGATTCTTGATCTCAAAGCTATCCTTTACCCTGTGTTCAGATTCAAACAGAGATTAGGTGCTATCCAAACTAGTTTTTCCACAACCTTTTCTAGAAATGGAAATTTAAGATAGTTCATAAAAGTAGTACTGTCAGGAGAAGATTGGCTGAGGCTATTACTATGAAATTATTTTCATGGCATAAGAACCATCAAGGAGGCCGGGCACAGTGGCTCGCGCCTATAATCCCAGCACTTTGGGAGGCTGAGGCAAGCGGATCATGAGGTCAACAGATCGAGATCATCCTAGCCAACACAGTGAAACCCCGTCTCTACTAAAAATACGAAAAAATTAGCCGGGCATGGTGGCACGTGCCTGTGGTCCCAGCTACTCGGGAGGCTGAGGTGGAAGAATCGCTTGAACCCAGGAGGCGGAGGTTGCAGTGAGCCGAGATTGCTCCACTACACTTCAGCCTGGTAACAGAGCAAGACTCCGTCTCAAAAAAAAAGAAAGAAAAAGGACGATCAAAATGGCTTGGTAGCATAATACTTGGCAATCTTTTCTTATCATGGCAGAGTTAGAAAGTAGACACATTTGTACAGCATATACAACAGCTCAAGGATGGAGATCTCCCTGGGTACTCTGGCTGTTCCAGCTTTATGTGAGCTCCAAGGCCTGCTATGATCTCAGCATATCTTAACTTAGTCACTCCACATGACCGGGCATTCAGGTGGGAAGCTCTGCAGAAGTAGATACTTGGTGTTCCCTCCCTAGTAGCCATTCCACCTTTCTCCTTTCAAACAGTGTATGTTTTCCATTTAAGCAGTCGTATGGTTCAGGAAATGGTGATACTCATCCTGGGTTCGAAGGGTGAATGCAGGACTTGGGCTAAGTCAATTGGTGCATCCATGGCTGTGGCCTTGAGGACTGGGTCCAGCATGGCACTCCACCAGTCCATTAAGAATAAAACTCATGGCTTCGCCTAGACCTCTGTGACAACGATCTCACTTCCTTCAGACAAGGAATGCACAGATGTGGAAACGGGACCTGATGTGTCTGTTGCACCACTAGGACAGAGGCCAGATGGAAGGAGAAACCAAACACTTGGAAGAGGGTAGAGAGAATGAATGGAGTCCAGGAGCCCTGATTGTGTCATAAATTTCCAGATAATTCCATACCTGAGGGTTATGTGGTTTGTAAACTTGGCACTTAGAAGAACCAATAAAATTATGTTATAGTTTCAACCGGGTCTAGTTACCTTTCCTCTTAATTGTGACTGGCTGTATCCTAACTGACACAGACTCTCACACCTTGTCTAATACTAAGGCATCTATGGCAAACACTTTTCCAGTAGCAGTAAGGAGCAATCTATCCAAATTTTTCATTCATATAGAATTGTCATTAAGAACAAATACCCATTTGAAAGCTGCTTGGCTTGGGTTAGACAAATGATCTCAACTGTGAGGTGCCATAAAGTGAACTGGGGCGTACAGAGAGCAAACCTACAACACGGTTCAGTTGTTGAGACTCATGGAACCACTGAGTTAAAGCTACGTGTGCCACTATGCCCCAAGAGATGTAGGGATGTCCCATCATGAAGGATTTCAGAGCAGGCCAGGCACCGGGGCTCAGGCCTATAATCCTAGCACTTTAGGAAGCTAAGGTGGAAGGATCACTTGAGCCCAGGAGTTCAAGACCAGCCTGGGAAACATGACAAAAACCTATCTCTACAAATAGAAAAATTATCCAAGCATGGTGGGGTGTGCCTGTAGGTCCAGCTAATTGGGAGACTGAGATGGGAGGATTGCTTGAGCCTGAGAGGTTGAGGCTGCAGTGAGCTGAGATCACCTCACTGCACTCCAGCCTGGGTAACAGAGTAAGACCCTGTGTCCACAACAACAACAACAACAACAGAAAAAGCAATGTCAGAGCAGCCAAATGCAGGAGAATGAGCTCCACTATCAAAGACAGGAACAGTCTTTAATTCTCAATTATGCAAATTCCCAGTTCCATGAGCTTGTCTGAGCCTCAGTGTTCTTCACCTACAAAATGGGAAAACATCTGTGTCATAGAGATTTCATAAGGATAAATGAGGTGATGGATGGTGATGTGCTTGGTAAAACATAAATATTATACAAACATGGAGAATTATTTGTAGAGCTTTTTTTTGGGTTGGGGGGATAGGGTCTCGCTCTGTCACCCAGGCTGGAGTGCAGTGGCATGATTACAGCTCACTGCAGCCTTTACTTCTTGGGCTTAAGCAATCCTCCCACTTCAGCCACAAATAGCTGGGACTATAAGTGTATACTACCATGCTCAGTCTCAAACTCCTGAGCTCAAGTAATCCTCCTGCCTTGGCCTCCCAAAGTACTGGGATTATAGGCATGAGCCACCTACCCGGCCTGCCTGCTGCTTTAATCTTACTGACATGTCATAAAGTTAGGGTTATAAATCCAGAATAGGTTAGCCAACCCTTGTGGGCTTCCGAGCAGCCACCTAATGCAGTAAAAGCTCCCTGCCTGCATGGGTCGGAAGGTCAGTTTCCAGGGGCTCTGTGGCTGATGGCTTGGCTGAACTTGCACAAGTCACTTACAAATCTGCACCCTAGTGTCTTCATATGCAAATGAAAGTAATAAAGCTCACCCGTATGGAGAAAGACCATGATGCTGTGTGCTTCCCTCCTCCTCGCTTCTTTGTGCAGCTCTTCTGGGTTCAGTCAGAGGCACCCACAGGCCTTGAGGACCACAAGGAGTGTGATGGCAAAAGTGCAGGGAAAGATATTTGTCTTGCTCATTGGTTTTGCTTTCAAAATACATTTTTTTTTTTTTTTTTTGAGAGACAAGTTCTTGCTCTTGCCCAAGCTAGAGCACAATGGAGAGATCATAGCTCCCTGCAGCCTCAAATTCTTTGGCTCAAGGGATCCTCCTGCCCCAGCCTCCTAAGTAGCTGAGACTACAGGCATGTAACATCATGTTCAATGAATTTTTTTGTTTTTTATAGAGATAAAGTCTTGCTATGTTGCCCAGGCAGGTCTCAAACTCCTGACTTCAAGTGATCCTCCTGCCTCAACCTCCCAAAGTGCTTGGATTAGAGGCATGAGCCATCACACCTGGCCTCAAAGTACACCTTTGAAATCAAAGAGGAAATGGAGGAGCAAGACATAGCCTTTATGCCGTAAAAATAGGATGAAAAGAGAAGTGAGGAGTTGGCAGACTCACCCCAGCAGGAAAGTGAGGTGAGGGGATAAAAGTGATGAGGCCGAGGACACCACGGAAGGTTACCAGTGCTGCAGGCTTGAGGAAGAGGAAGATGGGGCATCCTGGCCTTGGAGACAGTCGGGGCTGGTGATGAGAGATGCTGATACAAAGGGAGGAAACGAAAGAGTCAGGCAGATGGAAGTCTTTCAACCCAAGCCTAGGCTAGGCACTGTGTGCACTCCAGGCTTGGAACACACGACCCCAAAATATGGAACCCCGACGTTTCAGAGAACTGAAGAAGCAACAAGGTCACTCTCCAATCTTCTCCGCCTTTTTCCTCTGAAGAAAGCTGTAAAAGAATTCTCTGACCTTCCTCTGGAATGGGTCATAAAACCCTCCTGTGAGAGGTGCCCTTTCTATACCCAGAGAAAAGGAGCATTCTTTTTTTTTTTTTTTTTTTTTTTGGAGATAAGGTCTCACTGTCTCAGTCTGTTACCCAGGCTGGAGTGCAGTGGCACAATCACAGCTCACAGCAGCCTTGACCTGCTGGGCTCAAGCGATCCTCCCACCTCTCAGCCTCCCAAGTAACTGAGACTACAGGCAGATGCCAGCATGCCAGGCTAATTTTTGTATTTTTTTTTGTAGAGACAATGATCTCCCTATGTTGCCCAGGCTGATCTTGAACTCCTGGGCTCAAGTGAGCCTCTCACCTTGGCCTCGCAAAGTGCTGGGATTATAGGTGTGAGCCACCATGCTTGGCTGAAGAATCCTTATCAATGAATACACAGGGACACAGAGAAGAATCTGAATAAACAGGCCCTGCTAAGTTCCCTTTAGTTTATTACTATGACATCACACTCCCTCTGTCCCATCACACTTCTCGACTGTCCCCTCTTCATCAAGCTTAATAGAAAAACACGTTTCCCTCTTTCTTTGAGCCTTGGTTTCTAAAGGCTCTTATGTTACATGAAATTTAAATGCCTTGGTATGCTTTTCTTCTGTTCGTCTGTTTTTTGCTCTAGGTGCCTCAGCCATGGACGTGGCAGTGGGTAAAGAAAAGAATATTTTCAGCAGGGTACAGTGGCTCACAACTGTAACCCCAGTGTGATCCTCCCACTTTGGGAGGCTGAGGTGGGAGGATCATGAGGTCAGGAGATCGAGACCATGCTGGCCAACATGGTGAAACCCCGTCTCTACTAAAAATACAAAAAATTAGCTGGGCATGGTGGCACGTGCCTGTAATCCCAGCTAATCAGGAGGCTGAGGCAGGAGAATATTTTGAACCAGGGAGTTGGAGGTTGCAGTGAGCCCAGATCACGCCACTGCATTCCAGCCTGGTGACAGAGCAAGACTCCATCTCAAAAAGAAAAAAAGAAAGAAAGAGAGAGAGAGAGAGAGAAAGAAAAAGAAAGAAAGAAAAGAAACAAAGAAAGAAAGAAAGAGAAAGAAAGAAAGAAAGAAAGAAAGAAAGAAAGAAAGAAAGAAAGAAAGAAAGAAAGAAGAAAGAAAAGAATATTTTCTCCCTTACAGCAGCCCTGGTGGCAGGCTCTGTTTTAGAGCGTGTCTCCCTTCTGTACTATTTGAGTCGAGGCAGCTGTTCCTCCAGCTGCCTGCCTACTGCCCATGGTTCATCCTATAGATAAAGCCCCAAATGGACACCCCAAACAGGGCAGGATAACTGACACCAGAGGCTCAGTGGTGGAGGAAGCAAAGCCCCAGCTCCTGAACTAGGGCAGCATGGCTGAGTGGTAATCAATGCTCAGGAGGTACTTAGGAAGTTGTTGGGAGAATCAAATAAGATTAATATGTAGGAATGTGCTTTAAAATTTCTGAAGTAGGCCAGGTGCGGTGGCTCATGCCTGTAATCTCAGCACTTTGGGAGGCTGAGATGGGCAGATCATGAGGTCAGGAGTTCGAGACCAGCTTGACCAATATGGTGAAATCCCGTCTCTACTAAAAATACAAAAATTAGCTGGGCACGGTGGCGCATGCCTGTAATCCCAGCTACTCAGGAGGCTGAGGCAGGAGAATTGTCTGAATCTGGGAGATGGAGGTTGCAGTGAGCCAAGATCATGCCACTGCACTCCAGCCTGGGCGACAGAGTGAGACTTCATCTCAAAAAAAAAAAATTCTAAAGTATTGGCAATATAACTGCATATAGGTTTTTCCTGGATTATAAACCTTTCACCCAAATTAACTTGAGGCAAATTGCTCCAGAGAGCATGTAGTAACATTTCAGATGTGGAAAAGTTGGCTTTCTGGCTTGTGATATTTCTGTTATCCTGTGAATTCTCACTGCATCAGCTCTGGGTCTCTGTGGTTGTGTCTTCTTTTTTGTGTACTTTTGGAATTTGAGGTTTCAAACTTCAAGTTTTTGTGCCTCTGGTTCAACCACCCTTTCTTTAAAAAACTGTCTAAATGTACTGTGGCCCTTATCTCACCAGATGGGGAGAATTTAGGACTTCCCTCCAACCATCGATATTGCAGCGAATTTCAGGGGAGAAGCCAGGAGCTTACATTTTTATTGACATCTTTTACTCCAAATTTTCAGTTTTGCGGAAGTGTCACCTCATCTCCTACAGTCAATGTCTCCTTTCCTCCCATATATATTTCCCTCTCCTCTGAAAGTCTCATCTTCTCACTCAAGTGCACCTCCGGGGCCAATCCTGCAAAGAGATTTTGATATATGAGAGAGAGAGCGAGAGAACTGTATGTGTATATATATATATTTGTATGTATATACACATACAATTCTCTCTGTCATATATACAATTGTATGTATACATATATACACACACATGCAATTTTTCTCACACATATGTAGATGCATACATATATAGGTATACATATATATGAGAGAGAGAATTGTGATGTGTAAAGTTAACTTCTTTCTTTCTTATTTATTTATTTTTTTTATGCTTTTTTTTTTTTTTTTTTTTTTGAGACAGACTCTTGCTCTGTTGCCCAGGCTGGAGTGCAATGGTGCAATCTTGGCTCACTGCAACCTCCGCCTCCTAGGTTTAAGCAATTCTCCTTTCTTCAGTCTC